ATTAAATAATAAAATCCCTCTCAATCTCTCCAAATCGAAAACATTAAAAATGGAAGAAGAAAGGGGCTTCGTCTCCTTTATCTCCCTCCCCTCTATTAAATTTTTTTTTTCAAACAAGAAAAAAGGCTTTCACCCCTCAGTCTCTCCTCTTTTCCCTCCAACTTCTTCGATCCAAACAAAGTGTAAAGTTTTCTCTTCTTCTTTTCACTGTGAGAAAAAAAGGGGGAAAGGAAGATAAAGTAACCGAAAGTTAGAAGATCACGGTGCTCCTCTCATCTTGTGGAAACCCTGAATATTAGGTGCGGGTGTCGGTTCTCTTGATTTCAATTACCCTGTAATTTCAGTACCAAAAAAATGGAATGAATGTTATTTTTTTTTCTAGATCTAGGGTTCATTTGTGTTGAGCATGCCTGGAACTTGCTGATTTTTTTTTTTTTACTGCTATGAACTGTGTTTTTCTCGTGTTGTGTATCTGGAGTTTTGTAAATTGAAACTGTGAATAAAGCCTGTGGAGGACCAACTTAGCATTGGGTTTCCTACATTTAGCTAAAAATTGAATCTGGGTAGCGTCGCCATTTTTTCTAAGGATTTTTTTGGCATTTTCTGAATTTTTGGGGTGTCGCCGGAATCCGGCCTTGTGAAGAACTGTTTTAAAAGGCCCCGTTTGATCCATTTCGAACCGTTTATCCTTTCGGGTCGTGTTATTCGGGTCGGTCTGACCGGTTTAACTTAGGTCATTAACCCTCTTGTTTTTGGGCCAGGCCGAACTTTCCTTTTTTTTTTTTTTTATAGGCTAATAAAAGAGCATAACTTAAAAATGGAAATTGACCAAAAGCCCTCCAAACTACATCGGCCCAATACAGTAATTTTGTTTAGGGTGAGCATTCTACAAATTGGTATGAGAAATATTTTATACTTGATTTGAAAATTTGTAGGTATGATATTTTAAATATGATACTTACTTAAATATTTGAAAACCTATACTTAGTATTTAACCCAATAGGTACCAGATAACTTGTGGGTATGTATTTATGTACTTGTTTTGCTTTTTTTTTTTTTTTTCAAATTAAAATTTAATAAAATATTATTTATTTTCTGTTTACATTTAATTTTACAACAAATAGGATGATATCATATGTCATCCATGCTACAAGTATTTCATTGGTTGAATATTGTTGGTGTAAATCTCTCTGGTAAGGTTGAATGGTTATTTCCACAACGGTAGTAAAACCATTCGCTTGTTGTGAACTTCTAAGAGGATTATCGGCAGCACTAACAGATAAATCGATTTGTTTCAAATTTCATGTTGCCATTGGTTTTTTGGATGCTATCACAAATTTTCACCATGCTACCAAAGTGTTATAAATACTTGATGATGAGATCAAGCAAAGAATTGGTCTCTCACACAATAAATTCAACACAATTTTTTTTATGCTTAGATTCATCTTAGTCTCAAGCCTTTAAGTTTAGTTTTAACTCTACGCTTCAATATATATTAGCTTTCAACTTTAGTTAATGACTTTTTCTTTAGAAATCCCATAAATTAATTGCAGTTCTCTAAGACAACAATTCAGTTCTCCTTTTGTTGTGGTGAGTTTTGTTACCTTCAGTAATATTTCTTTATAATTGATTACTTCTTTTCCTTTTTGTTTTCCAAGTTTCCTTTAATTTAATCAAATGATGTCAACATTTAATTTCATGTTTAGTTCCATTTTTGCTAATTTACATTTCATGTTGCAAGTAGATTTTCCATGTTTCCACTTTTGTTTACTTTAATTTAATTTAATTTACTTTTTCTGCGATTAAATTTCCTTTTAGAACTCTCTTTCAATCCAGTTTGCGTATTTAAGGTTTCATTTAAATTTTAGGCAGTTTGGCGATCATTTATTTTGCTTGCAGTCTTAAATTTTCTTAATTACATTAGTTTGGAGAAGTCTTTGGAATCATATCCAAGGCATTTTGTCCTATCACCCATTTAGTGCAGAAAGTTCATCCCTCGTTTCTGTCAATCGTCTGATCTTTAAGGTGCAATTCACGATGTTCTTCCATCAACTCACAAACTGAGTTTTAAGCTTGGAAAGAAAAGAGGGTTGTCAAAGAAATCTTTCTTGTTTTGAGCAAAGTAAGTGGCACGTCATTTCATCTGCCATGTGTCAAGGAGATTTTTTAGAATAACACTTTTAATCTAAACTTAATTAAAATTAATAAAAATTTAATAAAATATTATTTATTACCACTACTTTGAAACTTGACCCAACCTGATTGATCAGTTGGTTGAATCAGATCTAGTTCTAAAAATGGACCGAGTAATGATAATGATCTATTCGAAGTCAAACCTGGTTAAAATCCGCTTAGATCCCGTCAAACTCGCTCAAACCCGATCAATTTGGTTGACCCGACCAATTCAACATTTTTTTTTTACATTTTCACTTTTTTTGTTTTTCTTTAATTTTTATATTTCTATTTATTTAATTAATAGAAAATATAATAATTAAATTGTAAAATCTATTTAAAATCAAATCACAATTAATGAATGAAAAATTTTAAATTAATTTAAATATAATTTGAAATTAAATTACTATTTCAAATTATAGAGTGATTTTAATTTAAAATCAAATAATTTGATTTTAAAAATAAAATAAATAACTACTTTATATAATGAAATTGATGAAATCAATTTAAAATTAAAATAAAATAAAATAAATTTAAAATTAAAATTAATCTTAAATAATTTTAGAAAAAAATCAATATAAGGAAAAGATAATTTTATAATTAATATGATATCATTGTTTTAGATGCCTATTAAAAAAATATTATGTATTTTAATAAATTTAATTAATGAAATTAATTTTAAATTAATAAATTTTGAAAATAAAGTCTTAAAAATTAATAATTAGTTTGATCAATAAATATAAAAATGATTTCAATCAATTTTAAAAATAAAATCAATTAAAGTAAAAATAATTTATAATTGATAAAATGAATTAAATGATATTTATTAAGTTGACTGGTTAACCCAATCAGTCAAATAGATTCAACCGATTGAACCAAACTCTATGACCAAAACGGATAGATCATTAGGCTGAGCTTTAAAACATTGTTAATTACAATCTAAACTTAAATATAATATAAAATAACAATAGAAAACTTTTAATTTGGTTTCACATCCAGAACTCAAATCTATATACAATTAAAAAACTAAACTCAATTAAATAATTATCAATAAAGAATGAAAAATATGTACCAAAAAATAAAGAGTGAAAATAAATTAAATAACATAATGAAAGTCCTTCAAAAAAGACATTCAAGTTTTTAAACTTATAGTCCCCCTAATCCTTTATATAGATTTTTGGGTTTATAATCCCTTCAATCATTTGTTTCAATTTGTTAGAAAATGATAGTAACTGATGATATTATATTTATTTTATTATCATAATATTCATGGTTTTGATTTACGATTCTTATCATATTAAATTTAAAGTTTGAAGTTAAAAATTTATTTATACAATATATAAAAATTATAACTTTGAAAATCATTAACAAAAAAGTAAAAAGAAAACTAAAAAAAATCCAACTTTAAAATTGTATATACTCACCATTATAGTGCAAAAAAGAGAAAAAGTCGTTGACTGCCTGAGTGATATATATTTAATTTAAGATTTGTTATTTACAAACTGCATTTGTGATTTTTTTTTTTTACATTTTTTTAAATATTATTGTTATTATATAAATATTAAGTAAATATGTATATATAAAATTTTAATTATACAAGTATAGATAATAAGTCAGTTAAATAAAATACTTAAATAGATCGGATAAACAATTCTAAACCTTACTTGATTTGGTACTTACAGGTATATTATTTTTATATCCATTACTTACCCAATATTTTTTATAATTTAGATAAGGCATATACCCAAACATATAAAATACTTATAGGTAATGGGTATACCAGTACCCAATACTCACCCCCTAATTTTATTTAATTAACTTGTACTAGACAATTAATTAATTAAATTAATTGATTCTATTAGTTTTAATTAATTACATTAATCAATTTTAATAAACTTTAACAAAGATTTGATTAAGTTAATTTAAGTGACTTATTTTATCTTATTTGGACAATTGACAACTCTAATTATCGATTATTAAAACTTAAATTTTCAAATTTATATTTAATTTTAGAATTTAAAGTGTGATGTGAACACAATTTTTTATAGATTATTGTTTATTTAACTTTTTACTAATATAAAAATTTGATACAAATTATATAATAATGTCCATTTTAAGTTTGTCACATTATACCTATGCTGATATTTGATTTTCTACTAAACATCGAACTGTTATAATAATTCTATTTAACTTTGATATCCTAGACCACTTTTAGCGGTTGAAATTCTTTTTCCAATTGAAACTATACTCCTCTCCGAACAGAAATACCTAACACGATTACCTGCAGGAATAGAATGCCAAAAACTCAAAACCTTGTATAAAAACTCAACACAGGCCACATATCTTAGCTTCACTCACAAATCACAGTTGTGAAGAAACGCTTCAATTAATCCATGGCTTTGGCACCAAACCATAACTTCTTCGCTCTTCTGGAAGACGGAATTGGCGACGACTCATTGGAATTCATCCATCGTGGTGCTTCAAAAGCTGTTTATAAAGAACATCAGCAGGAGGAAAAGGCTGAATCGTCAGTTGAGTCTTGAAAGCTTACTACAAGATGATGCTCTGATTCCTGCTCATGACCACTGTTTGGGCAGCTTCGCAGTCCAACACTGTTGAAGCCCTTAGCTGCTCCTACACCTGAAAATCCCGAGGGTGTTTTCTCGGGGAAAACACTCCAACACTCAAGTCAGCAATACTCAATGTTCTAGAGAGAGATGCTCCCCCGAAGTAATTGCAGAGAGAGAAGCGTAGAGATTAATTACCTTTATCGGAGGTAGTTGGGGGGTATTTATAGCCCCTTGGTGCTGACATACATCTGCACGTGTGAGCATCCCATTGGCCCACGTGCTGCTGGTCACGTGGGTATGCTTGTACTGATGCTCCTTAAGCTTAGGCCAATGGGTGGTAACCTAGGCCCGTTATGCATAGCCCTGTTTGAGTGTAGGGCCTGTTGGGCCTATTCCAACATTACTCCCCCCAGTGTTCGGTTGACGAACTGGGATGGATGTGCCCGTGGGTCAACGCCCTAACTGGTGACTATGATGGACGGCATTAACAGCTTGCGGCCGACCTCGATGACGGCCGAGTTGAAGGGTAGTACGAAGAGGCAAGCTCGCGAGCCTGAAAGTGTGCAAGCGAGCTGAAGTGGTTCACAACAGATGAGCCCGCCCTGGAAATAGTCATGTACACAAGGTGCTACTCGCTATTTCAGCGAGCTCGTCCACGTTAACGCAAGTGCGAGAAAGCGTGTGACGACCTGACCCGTGACTATTACCAAAGGTACCGAAGCGACCGAACGATGTTCAGTCAGCCATAACGACGAGCTGAGGCGATGCGACCTCACCCACAGTACGGTCCGTGATATCCATTGATCTGTGAAAAGGTCTGTGATCTTTCACGAGCTGCAACCCGTGTAATGACCTGATAAATGTGGTCGTCCTGACGATCTGAAATAGACAGGAAAGGCGACAGGCCAACCTGCGACGAGCTGAATCTGGTTGAATTTTAGCCTATGATCTATAACCGTGAACGAATTGTCACGGTTAAGTTGACCTGGTAAGTGTGCTCACAATGGTGAGCTGGGGTGAATCCATGATTCGTGTGACCTGATCTCTAGAGATTTTTTGAATTTGGGATCTCTTCAGAGATCTCTGATTAATAACGAGCTGATTTCTCGAGATTTTCAAATTTTGAATTATGGCAGATCTGTGAGGAGATCGCGGATTTGCTACGAGCTGATCCTTGAGACTTCAAAATTTGAACTGTGGCGAACCTCTGAGAAGATTTGCTTGGGTCTCGAATTTGTTACGAGCTGATCATTGAAGTTTGTAGCAATCTGATCCTTCGGATTTTTCAACAATTGTGGCGAATCTCTAGGGAGATTTGCTCAAGGCGTTTGGTATTCTTCTGCGTTTAACAGATACCCTTTTGTCTCCCCACAATAAATGCTGGCTCAGCATTTGAGGGGATGTGACAGCTACAGACGGCGTATTTTGGGCTTTTAACCATAAATGGGTGCCACGTGGACACACTTAACTGGGGGGCTATAAACACGCGTATGGTGTTTACGAAGCACCATCTGAACGCCCAAAACAAAACAAATGCTTTGTCATTTTGTCATTTCATTGCACAATACCTTCGTACGTTTCTCAGAGAAGATTGCAGGGAGACTCTCAACCATTTTTCAAGATTTCTAGCGAAAGCACGTCCGTCTGCAACTACTCAGGTAAACATGACTTCCTTCCACGACGCACAAGAGTTCCGGGGTAACCAGGGTGAAGAGGAAGAGGTTGATGTGATATCCGTGGAGCCCATCGCGATGATAGTGTCGCCGGAGTTGCAGGATTCGCCCCGAACTACCGCGCCGGAGAGCAGCACCAGTTTGAGTGCAGGTGGTGGTTCTGAGGGCCACCGACCTTCAACCTCCAGTGATTCACCCACGAACAAGACACCCAGTGGAGTAAAGGGTGTTGAGGAGGTTGGCTGTAGTGCGCTGGTGACGAGTGCAGCAACGAAGGTGGTGGTGTTCGAAGGGTGGGAGGGCAAGGTTTTGAGTGGACGACTGAGCAACCTTCGTAAGACCCCAAAAACTCTACCGGCCGGGTTCAAGTTCAGGGCGGCGCTGCATCATGAGGTTGCAGATGGTGTGGCCACGGTGAAGGGGTACAAGAAGCTGGAGGAGATGGTGAGGCGATTCCATATCCCCAGAACCATCCTGATCCGAGCTGGGACACCGAACGAGCGTGCATGCTCAGTGTTGCGGATGGGCTGGGTGCCAGTATACGTAGACCATTTTGACACCGATCTACGTTTTCCTCTGCCCGGAATAATTTTCGATGTCCTGGCAGAGTACGAGCTAGCCCTTTCGCAACTTACTCCCAACAGCATAAAGTTCATCATAGGCTTTATGCTGTTGTGCGAAAGGTTGGGGATGCCTACAAAGGCAACGGTCTTCAGGTCGCTCTTCTTGTGTAGATTGTGCCCGTCTACCAGTGGAACGAGATGGCACTACATCTCGGGCAGAGAGAAGATGATGAGATTCACCAACATTAGGAATAAGGTGGCGAGGTGGAAGAGATAGTTCGTTTTCGTGCGGGATATACGAACTGAGCGAATTAACAACGAGCTCGTCGCCCGTCTGTCTGAGTGGCGCACGCCGAACATGTATATGAACTACCCTCAGCTGACAGTTAGTGATATCGACCTGAAGAACCGACTGCTCGATCACGTGAAGGTGAGGGGTTTGGTGGATCTGGAAGCCTTAGTTACCCCGGACCAGATCGCACTTCTTGGGTTTGTCGACGTGGCAAACCTTCATGAGGAAGGTATATTTCTATATCATAGCAGGATTTCTAGCCGACCTGAATCTTATGTTTTTATTTGTGCAGGAGAAATGAGCAGCATTCTAGAAAGGCAGCGCCAGAGGGCACAAGGCTCACGTGGCCGGGGAGCCGGGTCTAGTTCCCAGCGTCAGTCCTGCTTTGACGAGCGGCCACCTGCTGCACCGGGGCGCAGCTCCCAGAACCGGAGTTCCAGCTCGGCACAGAGGCCCCGTGCTGAGCAAAGGACGGAGCCTACGCCTTCCAGCTCTAGGAGGCGCGCCAAGGAAGAGTCTGATGCGGAGGATGACGTTCTGCTCATCTGGCGAAGGACAAGTACTGGCTTGCAGCCCGCCTCAGCCGCTTTTACGCGACCTGCCAGCGTGCCCCAAGCGCTAGTTCGTGAGGTTGCTGAGGCCGCACCAGCCTCGTCGTCTGTGGCGGGGCCCAGGATTGCATACCCTGACGGCTTCAGTTACGTCAGGACAGAGTGCCAGGGTGCTATGCTGCAGGGTATGTAGAACTTTGTGCCCCCCGCAGACCGGATGCGTGCGAAGGGGCACGTTCAACAGCATGGTGGACATGCTGCCCTAATCAAGTTAATGGATGTAAGTATACTCGCCGAGCTCATTGTTGGTTTTATTATTTCGTGCTTGTAACTATGAGTGTATGTCTATGATAGGCGTTCAGCTACACTGTCGCACTTTTCGAGTGCAAGTAGGGGGCCAGGGCTCTGAACAACGAGCTTCAACAGAGCTGCAAACAACTGGCCTTTGAAAAAGCCAGTTTGACTGACGAGGTCAGTCGTTTGCAGAGCTCAAAGATGGCAAATCGAGCGGCGTCAGCTAAAAGCCGAGCTGACGAGCTGGCCTGCAAGGTAGACGAGCTGAAGGAGGAGCTCCAACGGGCTCAGGTGGAGAAGGAAAGCGGCATTCAAGCTGCTAAGGAAGAGACCAGCCGTGCAGAGGACCGGGCTAAGAGGGCAGAAGCTGAGAGAGAAAGGACTCTGCATGAGCTGAACACCCTGAGAGATAGGATCTCCCAAGTGGACCAGCATGTCGCCCGGGCTGAGGCGTCCCTAGAGAGCACCAAGAGGCTTCACCAGCGCGACATCTGCTTTGCCCGTGCACAGGGGGCTGAGTGGCTGGTGGGAGCAGAAATGTTCCAGGCTACCGTCGCGGTCGCCTCTGCCAACACCACCACGGACATTTTCAATGAGGTTCGTGGGAAGGTGTTACGAGTCCAGGTTGACTTCCCGATCGAGGGCGAGGAGATCGACAGCGAGGGGAAGAGTCTTGCCCTCCCAGCTAACACCAGGGTGAGGCTGAAATGGGAGCTCAACGAGGAGGGGCTGCCAGTGTGGCCCCCTGCTATAGTGGAAGAAGGGGAAGACGCAGAGGGGTTGCGAAGCTTTGATGCTTGGGTGGCAGGCCCCCAGGACGTGCCTGCTGAACCTTCAAGCACTCCTCCTTCTACTCAGCCTCAATCTCAGCCCGCTATAGTCGTTGTTTCTGCTCCTCCTTCAGATCGGCACTCTCCTGCTCAATCTGCTACTGCACCCAATGACGCATCCATCCCCGTCGACCTGACGGATGATTAGTTTAGGAGTTTTTGCCTTGGCTTTTGTATCTCTTTTTGTATTTTTGTATTTTTGCATTTGATCAATGGATTCACTTCATATGTTCTTCAAATGTAAACATCCATGATGAAATACAAACATAAATTTTCCTTTAAATTCTTGTTGTATTTTCTGTACATTATCATTTATAATCGCTGGATAACAACTTGAACGAAATAATAACGTACATGTTAACTGTAAAATTTTCTAAGGTTCTGTATGTTCCATATGTAAGGTAACTGATGTCCCTGTATGTCTGCCAACACGTAAGACCCAGGTCGTTTAACTTGAACAACTATATAAGGGCCTTCCCAATTAGGAGCAAGCTTGCCCATGTGTGAATAAACATTAGTCAATCCAGCTTTACGTAGAACCAGGTCGCCAACCTAAAACTGACGAGCTCGAACTCTTTTATTATAGAATTTTGCAACACGACTCTGGTGCGCCATGTTTCTTATTGGAGACATCTCCCTGACTTCCTCCACTAAGTCTAGATTCTCTCTTAAAAGTTGCTCATTATTAAGATCGTCATGGCGATCTGATCTATCAGATGGCAGCCCGATCTCAACCGGGATGACAGCTTCGGCTCCATACGCCAAGCTGAATGGGGTTTCGCCTGTTGCCGAGCTGGAGGTAGTGCGGCACGACCAAAGCACTTTATTGAGCTCGTCAACCCAATTAGAATGAGAAGTTAAAACACGCATCTTAAGGCCTCACAGAACAATTTCATTAGCGGACTCAGCCTGTCCGTTTGATTGCGGAGTCTATACAGACGTCAAGGCGAGCTCAATGCCATAGTCGTTGCAGAATGATCTCAGTGCCGTGGCTCAGAACTGTGGACCATTGTTAGCAATGATCCGCTTAGGTATGCCGAACCTGCACACAGATGACCGAGCTAAGCCACGAGTTGCACTCATAACGTACAAATGGTTTAGGCTACCAAAGAATACCTACACAATATTGAATTGAACAAGAATTCTTCTATCTTCTTCGCCGTTGTCGTGGACAATGGTTTAGCTTCTATCCATTTGGTGAAGTAATCCATCGCGACAACTAGGTATGTGCAACCTCCTTTGCCTTTCACAAAAGAGCCGAGCAGGTCGATTCCCCATTGAGCGAAAGGCCGGGGAGATGAGAGTGACGAGAGCATTTCTCCTATTTCAACAAGGATACTTATGCTTAGTTTGTAGACCAACATAAAGTTTGCAAAGACTTTATAACGAGCTCAGATACCTAGTATGTGAATGTCATCAGCATTGAACTGGCAGGTCGGGCATTTTTTGACATAGTTCTATGCGTCCTCGACCATAGTGGGCTAGTAATAACCATACCTTAAGAGTTTCCGAGCTAAATTCCTGCCACCGATGTGCATGCCACATACTCCTTCATGAACTTCCCTCACAGCGTATTCAGCCTCATAAGGAGTAAGGCAGCGAGTAGGGGCGTCAAGGCCGCTCGCTTGTAGAGCTGGTTATCTAACAAAGTGAAATGTGCCGCCCTGCGTTTAATCAGCTTTGCAGTGGGCGGATCTTCAAGTAGCTCGCCACTTTGCAGATACTTTATTAGCGGGGTGGTCCAGCTCGGTGAGGAGGGATTTGTGCTTAGCAGCTGGCACTCGATTGTGAGATCGGTGTAACTCGGGGCGTCGAGTACCTCGACAATTGTCGATCTCTGAGGGTTAAGGTCCTGCGAGGAGGCCAACTTTGACAGCTCGTCAGCTCGGTGGTTATCTACTATTGGTATTTTATGGTTTAATACCCTTTTTGGTCCCTCTACTATAGGAAAAAGCCCTTTTTTGGTCCTTGTACTGAAAAAATCCCTTTTTTGGTCCTTACTGTTCACAAATCCGGCCCCTTTTTAGTCATTCCGTTAAATTTTGGCTGATGTGGCAGGTTAATTAACGGAAACGCTCATTCTTTTTTTTTTTACTAAATTACGTGGAAAATCCACGTGACAAAATTGATGACATGTTAAATTTTTTTACCTTTAATTACTGATATACCCTTATCTTCTTCCTCGGCTTCTCCTTCCTCCAGCTTTTTTTTTTTTTCCTTTTTTTCTTTTACCTCCAGGCGAACGCAAGAGCCTGGGTTCGTCTTATCGCTCTCACCCTCCTACTTCTCTTGCCAAGGCCAAGCCCTTCCTGCTCGGCTAGAAGGACCGGATGGAGCCGACAACGCTGTTGTCACCGGCCGTATGTCTAGGGCTTCCGTGTAAGGTTGGCGACCTCTGTAACATGATAACCGTCACCGTAATCGCATTGGCGACCTCTGTAACTACCTCATGTCTACCACTGTAACTTAATTCTTTACCCATTTTCCTTCATAATTCAATCATTTTCTTTCGTTTTCTCTCTTACCAATCATATGATTCTAATTCTTTACCCATCTTGATCTTTTGATGCGACGATCGCATGCCCGCAATCGGGTTAATTCCATTTATAATTCAAATTCAAATTCTAGATCCACCGACGGCAGCCGCAGCACCGCCAAGATGGATCAAATCAGGTTTTAGAGCCGATGCAACACGCGATCCCCCAATTTCTTCCCTCAGATCTCCAAGCAGAGTAGAATTATCTCGCCATTGGTTGTTGCCTCAGTTCTAGCGACGTTTGCTATTTTGCTCTTTTGTTATCTATTCATATTCAGCACTAAAGGCACCGAGAAGTACCGGATTATCATCGACGGTGGGAGTACAGGGACGAGGATTCATGTGTTTAGATACACTGTAAAGGGAGGAATAGTGGTGTTTGATTTTAAGGAAGATGGGCTGGTGAGCATGAGGGTTAGTCCGGGGTTGTCTGCTTACGCGAGTGATCCGGAGAACGCAGGGTTATCGGTTATGAGGCTTCTGGAATTTGGGAAGAGTAATGTGCCGAAAAGGCTATGGGCGGAGACAGAAATAAGGACCGGATGGAGCCGACGACGCTGTTACAGAGGACGCCAACGCAATTACGGTGACGGTTATCATGTTACAGAGGTCGCCAACCTCACACGGAAGCCCTGGACATACGGCCGGTGACAACAGCGTCGTCGGCTCCATCCGGTCCTTCTAACCGAGCGGGAAGGCTTGGCCTTGGCAAGAAAAGTAGGAGGGTGAGAGCGATAAGACGAACCCAAGCTCTTGGGTTCGCCTGGAGGTAAAAGAAAAAAAGGAAAAAAAAAAAAAAGCTGGAGGAAGGAGAAGCCGGGGAAGAAGATAAAGGTATATTAGTAATTAAAGGTAAAAAATTTAACATGTCATCAATTTTTGTCACGTGGATTTTCCATGTAATTTAGTAAAAAAAAAAAAATGAGTGTTTCCCTTAATTAACTTGTCACATCAGCCAAAATTTAACATAAGGACTAAAAAGGGGCCGAATTTGTGAACAGTAAGGACCAAAAAAGGGGCTTTTTCCTATAGTAGAGGGACCAAAAAGGGTATTAAACCGTATTTTATCAATTTGGAAAAAGACAAACACTAACTTCAATCTGTTGACCACAAAGGCATAATGACCAAGCTGGGGATCCCTGATTTCACAACTGCCATTCACCTGGCTCACGACGAGCTGAGAGTCGCTAAAAACCTGAATGCTTTGTACCTTCAGCTCGAACACCAGCTTCAACCCGTAAACAAGGGCTTCATACTCCGCAGCATTATTAGTGGTCTGAAATTTAAACCTCTGTGCGTGCTCGGATTTAAAGCCATCTAGGCCTACTAATATAGCCCCAGCACCCGATCCTTCAACGTTAGCTGCTCCATCAACATACAAAACCCATACTGGGTGTTCGGGTGCTATTTCTTCCCTAGTGGTTGACACGCACTCCACCAGAAAGTCTGCAACGGCCTGGCCTTTTATGGTTGTGCGTGGCTGAAACTTGAGGTCATATTCGCTCAGCTCGACGGTCCACCCAATAAGCAGACCAGAGAGTTCAAGTTTCTGCAGTATTTTTCTCAATGGCAGATCGGTATAGACAACAATTTGATGTGATTGGAAATAAGCTCTCAACTTACGAGCTGTGTAAACTAGGGCAAAGGCAACATTTTCTGCTAACGGGTAGTTTTGCTCTGCACCTTGTAAAACCTTACTTACGTAGCAGATAGGCTTCTGATTCTTATTCTCTTCCCTGAGCAAGACTAAGCTCACTGCCTCTTCTATAACCCCCATGTACAAGTATAAACTCTCCCCTTCCACAGGCTTGGACAGCAAGGGTGCAGATGCCAGATATTGCTTGAGCTCGTCAAACGCCCTTTGACACTCGTCGGTCCATCGGAAGTGCTTGGGCTCTCGTAGGGCTTTGAAGAACGGTAAGCACTTCTCCGCCGACCTGGCTATGAATCTGTGCAACGCGGCTATTCGACCTATTAGGCGCTGCACATCCTTTACAGTCTTGGGAGGCTCCATTTGCTGAACGACCAGAACCTTCTCTGGGTTCACTTCAATTCCTTTCTTGGATACCACGTACCCTAGGAATTTTCCTAATTCTACAGCGAATGTGCATTTCGAGGGATTTAGTTTCATTTGAGCTCGGCGCAAGTTTTGAAAGGTCTCACTTAGGTCGCATATGTGATCTTCAGCTCGTACGCTGGTGACTATCATGTCATCCACATATACTTCTATGTTTTTGCCGATCTGGAGCTTAAAGATGATTTGCACAAGTTTCTGATATGTAGCACCAGCATTCTTCAGGCCAAACGGCATCATCACATAACAATAGATTGTGTCACCAGCATAGAAAGTTGTTTTCTCCTGGTCGTCCAACAGCAACTAAACCTAATAATAACCTGAGCTAGCGTCAAGGAAACTCATCCGTTCGTGCCCGGCTGCCCGCTCTACTAGCTTCTCAACATTTGGCAAGGGATGAGGGTCTTTTGGACACGCCTCATTGAGGTTGGTGAAATCAATACACATCCTCCACTTGCCATTTGGCTTTTTGACGAGCACGGGGTTAGATACCCACTCTGAGTACTCCACTCTCCTGATGAAGCCTGCCTGCAGCAACTTTTGTTTCTCTTCGTCTATGGCAGCTTACTTTTCGGGGCCAAAAAGGCGACATTTCTAAACCACCGGCTTTCTGGTAGGGTTTGTGCTGAGTTTGTGGACTGTCAACTCCGCTGGAATACCAGGCATTTCATCAGTGGTCCACGCAAACACATCTTGATTGACCCTCAAAAACTCCAAAAGCTCTGCTCGCTCTGCTTCTGTGAGCTTGGTGCCGATCTTGACTGTTCTTTCCGGCACATCAGGGTTTAAAGGAACGGTTTCTACTGGCTCTACTGGCTCTGCTTTCTGCTCGACACCCTCAGGTCTATGCTCAATGTCTGATATGCTCATTGTCTGCTGGCCGGGCTGAGTTGGCCTACTACTTTCGGAGCCTCTCGGAGCTACAGCAAATTCAACCTTCTTAAATGTATCTTGATAACATGCCCTGGCCATCCTCTGATTCCCTTTTAGTACTCCTACCCCCTGAGGTGTTGGGAATTTCATGCAGAGGTGGGGCTGTGAAATAACAGCCTTCAGCTCGCACAGAGTAGCCCTTCCTAATATAGCGTTGAAGGCCGATTCCATTTTGACGACCAGGAAGCTGACTGAAGCCATCCTGAAGCGTGGTTCTGAACCCACATAAATGGGAAGTGTGATTACTCCTTCCACTAGAACGGGCTGATTATCAAACCCATAGATTGGCCCTTCATATTTTTGTAACGAGCTGGGGTTCAGCTGCATCTTTTGGAAGCAGCTCCAATACAGAATATCGGGCGAGCTGCCAGTGTCAATGAAAACCTTATTGACGTTATGATTGCCTATATGGACTGTTGCTACAAAAGGATCTGCGTGAGGCATCACGACGTCAGGCTCTCCTGCTCGCTAGTAATCTGTCGGGCTAAACGTAATAGTCACATTCTCCCACTTCGCTTCTTCAAATGGGCGCTTAAAAGGCCGGTTCTTATTTACCGTCATCACCTGGCGAGCGTACGCCTTGCGGCCTCAGGCGCTTTGACCCCCTGCGTGCATACCACCAAAGATTATATTGATTGTGCCAGATGGCGGGGGTATTCCACCATACCCAACCCCTCTGTGGTCCTTTTGATTCTGTGTAGCTGCTTTCTGTCCTTGCCCATGCCTATTGAACGGGCATCCCCTGTATGCTCTGCTCGACTCAGATGAGTACGAACCTGCTTGGTAAGAATTTGGATTGCTAGTGAGCTGATATCCAGGTGCTTGAGATCGGCCGTACTTTTGTACAAAGTGGGTCTAGGTGGGTTGTCGAACAAAAGGCTTCTGCACATGCCCCTCCAATTTTCCATTACGAGCCAAGAATTCGAGCTCGTCCTTCAGACTTTGACAGTCTTCTGTGTTATGGCCATAGACACGGTGATAGTCGCAATATTTGCTTCTGTCAGCTTGTGAAGAATCGTGCGTTTGTGGAGGGGGTCTCTTGACCCAATGTTGTATCTGCGCCAATATCTGGGATCGTGACGAGTTCAAGGGGTTGTAGCTGTCATATTTAGGATAGGAAGGTGGTTTCCCTCTCTGCTCGCCAACCTTCTGTTTCTTTTTGTCCTCTCTATTCTTAGGCTACTTAGGCTCTTTTCCTTGCCTGTCATCAGCTCGTCTCTTAGAAGATTGAAAATCTTCGGATAATATGAAGCTTGCCGACTTGTCATTTACTTCATTCCACAACTTGGGTGGATTCTCCAGCAGGTTGTCCAGAAACCGGCCAGGCTTCAAACCATGCAACAAGGCAGATAAGCAAATGGTATCAGGGACGTTATCAATGTCCAAAGTAGCCTTGTTGAATCGTTGCATGTAGTCCCTCAAAGATTCTCCCTCTTTCTGATGAACCTGCATTAGCTCGGTCGCCGTACGTTTAATCTCCCTCTGGCTCGCAAATTTGTTGGAGAATAGCTTGGCGAGCTGGGAATACGAGTCTATAGAGTGTCTAGGAAGTTTATGATACCATCTCCTGGCTGTAGACTTCAGTGTCGCTGGGAACACTTTGCACATCATGGCATCATTTGCATTTTGTATCCTTATGATGGCCTGATAGGTATGTAGGTGCTCGTCAGGGTCGCCCGAGCCATCATACATCTCTAGATGGGGAATTTTGAACCCCTCTTGGTACAATTCCACTGTGATGGATAGGTTCAGTGGGGCGCTATCCAACTCAAGAGTTTGCTAATGCGACTTGGGACTTTTCAGCTCGTCTATGGACTTTTGTACGTCCTGTAACTGTCTTTCGAGGTCCGCGTTCTTTCTCATCAGCTCTTCATTATGTTTGGACGAGCTAGGCTCGATATTCAGCTTCCCACTTCCCCTTGGCCTGGTCGGCACTACTATGTTGCTTAGAGCGGGAGAGTTTCAAGTTGCCACAACCGCAGCTGGTTGTGCATCCCTGTTCAACAAAGGAATCAGGGGGCCATCAGGAATCAGACGGGCAAGGATTTTACCCATTGCCATTTCAAGAACTCTGGTTCTCTCTTCGAGCTCGGTCGTCTGAGCAGGTTCTGTCAACCTTTCAGGTCACTCATGCTATGAATTGTATGGTTTAGAAGGCCTTTGTCTTGTTCCTGTTGGAACTTGGAATTGTTCAGGCTGGGTTGCATACCCGGTTGGTGTTCTTTTATCATCTATTTCACTTAGGTGATCCTGTTCGACTCCTCCGACGGAAAGGTTTCTTGGCATTGGCCTAAAATCGTTCAAGCCGGGCTCAGATATTTGGGCATCCTCCTGTTCGTCCATTTCATTTCTTAGAGGGCAACCTCCTATAAAAGTACGAACCATTTTGTCTTTCAATAGGTTAAGCTACACAGCTTCTCGTTCAGGTTCCCACAGACGGCGCCAAAATGTTTGGGCAGCTTCACAATCCAACACTGTTGAAGCCCTTAGCTGCTCCTACACCTGAAAATCCCGAGGGTGTTTCCTCGGGGAAAACACTCCAACACTCAAGTCAGCAATACTCAATGTTTTAGAGAGAGATGCTCCCCCGGAGTAATTGTAGAGAGAAAAGCGTAGAGATTAATTACCTTCATCGGAGGTAGTTGGGGGTATTTATAGCCCCTTGGTGCTGACATACATCTGCACGTGTGAGCATCCCATTGGCCCACGTGCTGCTGGTTACGTGGGTATGCTTGTATTGATGCTCCTTCAGCTTGGGCCAATGGGTGGTAACCTAGGCCCGTTATGCACAACCCTGTTTGGGTGTAGGGTCTGTTGGGCCTATTCCAACAACCACGTTGACAATTCAAGCTCATCTCAGAACTCATCAGTTACTGATGTTGATTGGCAGCTTGTAGTACATAAACACCGTAAACAGGGCACCCGAAGCCAATTGAAGGAGCTGAATGGTGCTGCCGAGATCAGTCCGGTTCAAGGAGTTCAGAAGCAAGATCATCCCCATGATCTTGTTGACAATATGAAGCAGCATGAAGTCATCGATGGTGACAGCAAGTGCGAAGCAACAGAACAGGAAAAGCAAACTCCGGACCGTGTACTGGAAGATGAGAAAGCAATTGTAGGAGTTCAGAAGGAGCTGAATGGTGCTACCGAGATCAGTCCGGTTCAACGAGTTCAGAGGCAAGATCATCCCTATGGTCTCGTTGACAATATGGAGCAGCAAGAAGTCATCAATAATGATAGCAAGTGCGAAGCAACGGAACAGGAAAAGCAAACTCTGGACCATGTACTAGAGGAGGAAAACGCCACTGTTGAAGTAGTTCAGAAGGAGCTGAATAGCACAAACGAGATCAGTCCAATTCAAGGAGTTCAGAAGCAAGATCATCTGGAGATCAGTCCGGTTCAAGGAGTTCAGAAGCAAGATCATCCCTACGATTTTGTTGACATTATGGAGCAGCAAGAAATCGTAGATAATGATGGCAAGTGTTTAGCAACAGAACAGGAAAAGCAAACTCTGGACCATGTACTGGAGGATGAGAAAGTCATTGTTGAAGGAGTTCAGCAAGAGCTGAATGGTGCTACTGAGATCATTTGGGTTCAAGGAATTCAGAAGCAAGATCATCCCCATGATCTTGTTGACAACATGGAGCAGCACGAAGTCGTCGATAATGATAGCAGGTGCAAATCAACCGAACAGGAAGAAAGGAATGTGGAAAATGAAACTCTAGACCAAGTACTGGAGGACAAGAAAGCCATGGTTGAGAAGAAAAAGAAGAGGAACAAGAACTACAAGAACAAGAAGAGAAAGAATATGGCAATGGAGGAACGTCCGACGCACATCCATGATGGTTCCCTTAAGAAAGAGTGCTGGATATTTGCAATTTATTATCCTTTAGGGATAATGCTTTTAGGTGTTCTGCCATAGAAGTCAGTTAGGCCATAGAGGTTTTGGTGCGATAAGATTGTGCGAGAATCATTTTTTTTTCCTTTATTCTTAAATTACCCTCATTCTAAGTTTTTTTTTTTTTTTTTTGGCAAAAATACTATTTTTATTAACAGTGGAAAGCAATTTATTTTCGCTTAGGAAATCAAATGATACAGCATATAATTACACGAGGACGTAGATTAGAAATTGGGAGGACTAAACACAACGAATACCAATAACAACCCACACCCCACTCCCCCCTCCCCGGGCTACTATTCTTGTACAGATTATTACATCATTAGCTAGAGACCACCATACCTGGCTACGACATACCATACTGAACAGTTCCAATGTTCCTGTGCGCAGTTACGGCAACAGCAGCTGCACCAACTGCTCTGAACTGGGTTCGTGCCTGAAGCAGTTTCGCATCAATGGGGATCCGATCATTAATTTGATCTGCCTTTCCTTCTGGTTGATAATATGGATTGCTGTTGATGTCAGCGACCATTATGGGTGCTGGTTTTGCGACCATTATGGGTGCTGGTTTTGCAACCATGTTGCAATGTTGGGGGTGTGGTTTGGGTTGTGAAGGACCCATGTCACCATCTAGCCAGGGTTTCCCTTGATTCATGGTGTTTCCCCTTAAAAAACAGTGAGGAGAGACTGTCTGTGTAGTAGGGACAGTATTTCGGTAAAGAAGCCTTGCATCATAGGTTTCTTTGATGCTTCTGCCATTGTCAAATGCCACGACAGATCCAACCACTCTCCCTGGCTTAGCTGCAGAAATAAAAGAAAAACCAAAAAAGTTAATCACTACAACTTGATCAAGAAATAGGGCAAGAAATAGGGCCATTACTCCCAGAAAAGTTCTGACAGCCCTTCAAATAAAATGAAACTCTTGAAAGAGAATCACATACACAAAATGAACTATGATAAGAGGCCAAAAACAAATTTTGACAGCCAAACCATTCAACAATATATGGAAGCAGAATTTACAAGAAAAAGGACAAGAAGTGCTGCCTGAGCAGGAGAAAGCTGAGAAACAAACAGAAAGAAGTCTATCTACCTGCTGGCACCCTTGGGGGAGGCCTTGAAGTCTTTGATGGATTCATGGAAATTGTATTGCTGTCTCTATTTTTAGAACCATCTTCTGCAATTTCCCGGTTATTATATGAAGCCAAGTTCGGCTGCATATTATTAGAAGGTGTTAAATTTGAGTGAACTGTAGACCTGCAAAAAGCCCAGTGAGTTGTGAATCAAAATGGTAACAGCAAAAAGAAAAGTGCTAAATTTGAGTCCCCTGTTTTGCAGTCCAGTACAGTCTGGACAGCAAAACAGTTTTTCAACTAAATTTATTTATGACTTTGTTTGTTTAATCCTTCAACTGGAAGAAAATCATTGAGAAAAAGGACAAATACAACAAATGATTCTGAATTTTCACCTGCAACCTTCTGAAGGCAAGGGCTATGGTAAAATTGGGATACATAATAACAATTGAAATGTTGCAGATATGAAATCAAATAGTCTAATTTATATACCTTGGAAGTGAGACATGTTTCCTCTCCAGAGGAATAACTGGAGCACTTCTACCACCATTTTCCTCAAGGTGTGCAAACTGCTTTCTGAATTGGCCTATGGCACTGCAAAAATGAGACATAATTATTAAAAAAAAATGTTTGGTAAATGAATTACATAGGATACAATCTTTAGGCATGTGGAAAACCTTGGATAGAGAAAATTGGTGCTTTCATTTCCATTTATGTAATCTTTACGCAGCTGAGGATGGTATTCTAATATCTCCCTGTATATTAGCTCCCTAATGTCCTCCTTCATCACCCTTCGCCTCTCAAATTCAAATTCCAACCTGGAGATTGACTGACAAGAAGGTTCTCTCTCAATTTTAGCTAGGCCCTTGAAGTAGGGATCAGCCAATGCCTACGAATTAATAAAGAAAATTTCAGCATAATGAAGCTAAAAGAATATTTTACCAACAATTACAGCACGCTGAGCATGGACATGCATAGAAAGTTGCATTCATACTTTGATTACATCCATCCGTATGATGTTTTACCTATGGCATGAGCAACAGACAACACGTACCTCCACTGCAGTTGGCCTATCCTTAGGATCAAATGCTAAAAGCCTCTGCAATAACCGAAGTGCTGAAGGGTCTACATTTGGAAATTTCTGTTGAAATGGCACAGGATGTTTTTTCCGCATCTCTGTCAAGTACTTTCTTGCCTGTTCATTTCGGACCTGCATGTTTTCATAACAATAGTCAAGCTTTATACAAAAAAAAGAAAAGAAAAGAAAAGAAAAGATAATTGCCATTTGATCCAACAAGAAAGGGGGGGGATTGTGCCATACTCCAGAGATGGTTTCCAGTGAAGGTGTCCCAAGGAGATCAGTGATCAAATCTAGTTGATGGACAACACTTTTACCCGGAAATAGTGGCTTCCCTGACAAAACCTCAGCAAAAATGCAGCCAATGCTCCAAATATCGATTGCAGGAGTATACTGCACATGAATTTAGAACATATATCAGCCCTATTTAAATAAAACTAGAAAGTTACAATGCAAATAACCACACCAGAGAAATTGACATAACTTGACACAATTACCTGAATCACAGACAATTCAACTTCCAGGAGAGTTCATACTCCTCCCTGAACAACAATTATTTTAATCTAGGCATTATTGCTTACTTTAAAGCACTCAAGCATGTTCTATCGAAAAAAGTCTGTTGATTTTCTATTACATCAATAACCGTTATGGGGATATGTGGTAGTAATGTCAAATTCTCAAGCCAAACAATAAATCCAATCAATTCTATCATATTCTTGAACAAGATTAAACACATGGTAACATGAATCAGACAATGAGAGAAAAAAAAGGAATGAATAACTAATCACATAAATGTATGACTGTCAACTTACACCCACATGGCATACCTCCTAGAAAATTATCCAAAATAATAAGCATTGAAGCATAAGCAGTCTGAATAGAAACAGGATTATGCCCCGATAAACCACATGAAGACACAAGTTCTGAAAAAGGGTTTCAATTGTGGAATTAAAGGACTAAAATTTCACAGCTATAGCATGTATGGTCATTACAGAAAATTTGCAGGGAAAACAAGGGCTGAAGCACAGAAGATAATCGTAGCAAACACTGATTTTATTTTATATTATTTTGTTGCATGGCAATCAGAATAAAAAATTTTCAATGCTTGAGAAATCATCCACAAATAATATACATGATATGGTCATGTCTTGATAACAGAAATGGTTGAAAACTCTATTCTTAGGACTTAGCATGCTACAAGAGTCTGCTCAGAAATGAGATTTAAAAGCATGAAAAAGGAATGCAGAATAAATTTTCATGAAGAAAGGACATTCTAGTGGGTCAATTAGCATAAGCTAATGTGACTGAAATTAAAAAAATAAAAACAATATATCATGCAACTAAGATAAAATAACAACTGAATTTCAGAGAATCATAAGGCAGCAACTATTTCTATATCACAAATAATGAAAGGAATATTAAAGGGAAAAAAGGGTCCAAAAAATCTAACTATCATGTAGATTGAGGAAATGCTACAGGTATCAATCTTGACTGTAGATCACTTAAAAACAAATATATACCAACTTTTGATCCATTTTATATCCCATACCAAGCTTCAATCACATTCAGTCTAATTTGGAAAGAAAAAAGAGGCCAGGCATCATAGGTGAGCCATACCTTAGTAAAAAAGGATCCACACAGCTCTGGGGCTCTGTACCATCTTGTAGCAACATAGTCCTGCAAAACATGTCAGGAAACAACACATAAATACAAAGATAGACTCTAAGTAAAACAAGAAAGACAATCAACATGTCTCTACAAAGAATCAGAAAACCATGCCATAAACAACATACCGTCCAAAAAACTATTGTTGGGGTATCACTAAATGCAACTCTTGCTAGCCCTAAGTCGCAAACTTTAAGTTTGCAATTTGCATTTGCCAATATATTCTTCGGTTTAAGATCCCGGTGGTACACATTAGCTGCAACCAACAATCAAGATATCAAAATAAATTTTAACCACTTCAACCCAGCCCTAGCCCCTTCCTCTCTTCCCTTTGATTCTAAAGAAAAATACATGTAGATATAGCTATCAAGGCAAGCATAGAAGAGCATGAAAAAGAATTCACTCCAACTAGAGAAAGAGATTTCTATAAAATGACACAAAATTTTGACATTCAAACAGATGACAGGGAAAACTAATTAAATTTTATCATACAAAGTCATATAACAAAGAATTGACATAAACATTTGGAAGCCATAAAACACCTGTATGCATATATTTCAAAGCACGCAACATCTGGTAAAGGAAAAACTGATGGTGTTCACGTGTTAGATCATCATTAGCTTTGATAACTTGGTGAAGATCAGACTCCATGAGCTCAAAAACAACAAATAGGTCTTTAAACTCCCTTTTTGAGGGTGGCAACATAATGCGCTTAATTTCAACAATATCAGGGTGTCTTAGGAGCCTAAGCAACTTAATTTCTCGCAGTATCCGTATGGCATCCGATATGTTCTCAAAAACATCTTGTATTTTCTTGATCGCCACTCTCTCCCCAGTATGAGTGTCAATGGCAGCACAAACAACTCCATAGCTTCCTTTCCCGATAACTTCCAGAATTTTGTATCTGTTGGCATCCCCGTATTCAGTGAAAAAATCCATCTCTTTTAGGCCCTGAAGCATGAAAAAGAAAAAACAATGAGAAATCAAAAATAAAAAATGTGATTTAAAAAGGTTAAAAATTTTTTAAAAAATAAATAAATAAAGAAGTAGCAGCAACATAAGAATAATTAGCACCATGTGATTGCATATGCTTCAGCATACAAGAACATCTGCATGGCTAAGATGATAGTTTGTAAGTTTCTAACTCAAAGAAGGATAAAAAAACATAAGCAAGAGGAGGGTGGAATCTCCCTCCAACTATGCCAGCCTTGGCACAAATGATCAAAGAATTTTGTAAATATAAAGGAAAAACAGGACCCCAAAAGTCATCAATTAGTGAAGAGAATCAGGTTCCAGTTTAGCTTAACAATTTCTGCCAATTGAAAAATCAAACACAGACTCCAGTCAACTAGATTCATTTCTTGGAAATGAAGACCAGGATAACTAAAAAGGAATAGAATACCACCTTTAATAAAGAAAGCTGAGTCACAAGAACGAAATACCAATTGTAACTACCTTTTCTCCACATTATGATAAACAAGTATTATTATTATTATTATTATTATTATTATTTGCACAGCATGATAAATATTATCATGCACATAAAGGAATGCTCAAGAAACATATAAAGATCAATTATCAAATGTTAGCATCATATGAAATTTGGTGGAGTGAACCAACTTTTTAAAAGCAAAAAAAGAGTCCAACTCTTTTCTTGATGCGGAAAATTGCACAACAACCAAGCAGCCCTAATAAGCTCATGGTTACCTTTACCCCAAAAAAACTGCATCCAATGTCTTAGATGACTCACCTTTCCTTCAAATTTAGCAACATATATTCTTTCTTACTTGCTTTCTCCATTGCAAAGAAAAATTACTATTCTTAAAAAATTTATCCTCGTGTTCAAAATTAGGAGCCACAATCATCACCTGAGGTTAGTAGCTAAATAAATCTTTAGAGCTGCAAGTGCTCGTCGCAGTAAGCCCAGATTATCTGAATTTCCAACTTCTTCCCTTTACCAGATTTTATCACCAAAATAACATCTCATAAGTGAATCTGAATCCTATGTTTTTATTTTTAGTAGAAAAACCCTAGTTGAAAAAAGAAGATTATATCGAGAGCAAGAAAAACCCAATACCTATTTAAATCTGTTTAACTCTATCTCAATTCATTAACCCTTCAACTTGATCAATCTCCATATACGTCCAGCTCCCAAAACTTGAAAACTGGCAACACTAACTCAGATCCTTCCTTACTTCCTTGGGAATCATACCATCCTAAAAATAAATCAGAACCTAACTTTCCCAAGTTCAAATAGCTAAAGAAATCCCACCACAACATCAAAAAATGAAAATTGAAAAAGAGAGGAAAATATACCAACCTTCTTTAACTGATCTTGCTGCATCTTGTACATAAACACCCAATTTACACTCCCCAATGATCTATTCTTCTCCGTTTCCTTCTTGTCCTCTTTCAAAGAACGAAAGCGCCCGTAAACAGAAAGAAACGCCAAAAGAAAAGAACTTCCTCAGTGCACAATAAAGAAAATCCACCACACTGCCTAGAACTGCTCCTAATCACCAACCCACAATCCCTCCTCACAATCACAATACACAGAAACCCCCCAACAACCTCTCGCTCATCCAAATCAAAAACCCACAAGAAATTCCTCAAAACCCACCTCCAAGAACAACCAAGGAGCAAACTTTGAGAAAGAAAAAAGGAAGAACTTGGTGGAACTTTGTAAGAGCCTGGATTCCGGGAAGGGATGAAATCTGGGCCTTCTCAAATTTGCAGGATCTGGGGACGAGAAGAAAGAACTGAAACATGCATCTGGGTTATTTGTATTACAGGTAGATGATGAAAATGGAAATGAAGTACTTATAGTATTATTTTATTTGGGTTTTTATTAGTAATTTCCTATCCATTCGTTTTTAAAAATTTGCCCGTTTTCTTGAAATTTGTGTCGTCGAACTTTACACGTACGGCGACTGGTGGGGCACGCAGTGGCCCTATTTTGTAATTCTCATCAATTTCTGTCGCTTTTCGTTAGTGTTAATTTTGTTTTTCTCCTTTTCCTTTTTCATTTTTATATAGAAATTATATTTATTTTAAAAAAAAAATCGAGATGCTTTTATATCTAATTATAATTATTAAATATATAAAATATAATATAAAACTTATTTGATAATTATTAAATATTTAAAATATAATATAAATATTAATTTTATTAAATTTATTATCTAATTATTATTATATGTTTTAAACACCCTAATTTTTCTTTTTTTCCCTTTTTTAAAATCTTAAAGCCCATATTAGGTTGATTGGAATTGTTACTTTTGTTCATGAATAATAACAGTTCAATTGATATTCTGCGAAACTAACTCAGAGAGCAGACTACTAACTGAAATATCGTTTCACCCCGAAAAGGAGCACTATTTAATATAGGATAAATTATGGACAAGTTATATAGAAACACATGCTCCCCTAGTTCTGAGGTGACCTAAACCCTATATGGCAAAGTCCAAGGTCGTCTCCTAGGAAGACCTATTTACCCTAAGGTCTAGTGTTTCCCATCCCTGGTTGGGTATCAACTTAAAACTACGACTTGACGTCAAACCATAGGGACCTGATAGTTATAATAATATAAGAAACAAGAACAAATTGATAGACCACATACAACTGAAAAGAAAATGGCAAAAGGTGCATATCACCCCTTAAACTCAACAACTGGTGGCAAATCACCCCCTCAACACACTTCACGCGCAAATCAACCCCTCAACTCAGCTGCAGTGACAAATCAGCCCCTCTGTTAAGCTGACATCATCATCCATTAACTTTTAACCATCCGCTCATAAGCCCCCCACCCCTTGGGTCTGACGTGGCTTTTTTATTTTTGGGTTTCAAATTTTTAATCTTTGTTAACAGGTTTTTAGCCAAAGAAAAAAAAATATTTGCTAACAAAAACTCTTTTCTTTTCTTTTCGTTATTTTTTTTTGTGAAA